AAACCGGACAAAGCAACACACACAGCAAGCATTATCGTGCAATTTGCCCAGAAGCAACTTCCAGGTTTATTTGTTTCAATCAAACTCTATTTCACTGTGCAGCACTAACATGAAAGGTGAGCACCATGAGCGGGCTTGTCAATGATTGGAACAATGGGCTGGGTGAAGCGACGGAGTTGGTCGCCAAGCAGAACGAGCAGCTTCAGGGCTTGGTGGCTACAGGACAATTGTCCATGGAGGCAGCTCTGGCTGGCTGGCTGCCGGCACCGCACGCAGTGAAACCTCCATCGGCCTCTTGGGCTAGAAACTTCCAGCAGAATTGGGGTTGGGCTCTCCTCAGCAAAGGTAGCCAGGGTGGAACCTGGCTTCCATACAACCACCCAGATATAGCCCATGCACGTCAATGCATCCGATCTTTGTTCCAAAGCCAGAAAGTGCATGGTGCCCTCTTGCTCAATTTTGATCAAATGTGGCGCACTTGCTTCAGTTTTGACGGCAAGCTCCGGTGGAAGCCTCGCGAACTCGGAGGAAAGCGGGTGCCCAAAACAAAGGCAGGCCAGCGGGAAAGCAAGAAGCTGCACCACGTGAGCGGATGCCGGAAATCAATCACCGTGCCACAGCTGAGCATTTTATACAAATTTTAAGAATCCGCCCTCACTGTATTTTGCATTATGTTGCCACTAACATGGTGTCTGTCCAGGGATACGAGTCCACGATGGCTAATTGAAACCTACTGGTTTTGGCGAGGATTCCTGGACTGGTGTGTTTTTTCTTGCTTTTAGAATGAGGTTCTTACCACAAGCTGGAGCGACGGAACCAAAGGGCCGTTGGCCTTCTGTATTCCAGAAGGTGCTATGGATGCCCAGTCCATCAAGTTGTGGAATGATGCCCATCATGGAACCAGCCTGATATTGACATCGGGAAGCAAGACCCACTTCATGACGTCGCAGACTCTGCTTCAAGTTTACGAGCAATTGATCAGCCCGGCCGTACAACTGCAGAGGGCGAAGCACTTTGTCTTGTCTTGTTAAGCCCCGCTTGATGTTCTCCCTTCTCATCCCTAACATGGACTGCCACCTGTTTACATGTCCATGATGTCTGCTCATAAGGTATGGCCTTGGAGTGGAGACTCCTGGTGGTCTGATCTGCGACGCCTGGACTGGCACATTTGCGAGGAGTCAGGGAGAGGAGCCCAGGAGGACAGCTCGGGTGGAGAGATGTTTGTATGTAACACCATTGATATGGAGTTGAACTTTTTACACAGGTTCTATGTTTGCAGTTATGGTGCATCTGTTGTGATGCCAGTGTCCAAATTTTGCATGGCAGGCAGGCTTTTTACAAGTCCCACAACTTGGTATCGCCAATGAAAATGGCTGGAGGCTGGTCATCGCACGGCCAGCCAGTCGACCAATTGCATGGAGTGTTCCGCAAAGCCATCCGTGCCCGTGACATTGAAAGCGCTGGAATGTTCGAAGACCTCCGCGCCCGGCCAGCATACCACATGGTCGACATCAAAGCCTCTGGCCAACTCTCGTACAAGGTGAGACCATGGGCCGAAGTTGTGCAGTTGACCTACGATGCGTGGTGCTCGCTTGACAAGAAGGTTTTCGAAGCAGCTTTGCTCTCCTGTGGATATGTTGATAATGACCATTTTGCCAGCTTCCAACCACTGGGTGGCCACCACAACATCTCTGTGGACGAGGCAAAGGCGGTCTTGTCAGACATCTTTTCGGAGTTGGGCTTTGGTTATTCAGTGCAGCGTTGCACCCAGCTCGAATGGCAAATGGAGGACTGCAGTCAACATAGCCTCTACACAGAGGGGCATTCTATGTTCATGTTGTTTTGTCTAGCCAACTGTAGGTTTACTGAAAATTGCACTTCGCATATTTTGGGTTGCTGGTTCCACTTCCATGTTTGCGTGTTTTGCAGGTTGAAGAAAACCATTGGGCGCCCTTCCCGTACGAGATTGCTTCAGCGTATGTTCGCACATTGATGATCCATGTTCACAAGCTGAAGGTATGCAAGGCCAGTGTTGAGGAGGCTCTTGAAAAGGACCCAAGCTCCAAGAAGAAAACAACTCAGAAACTCCAGGAGCAGCTGGAGAGCCTGAAAAGCTCAAGTCGACACTTCGTTCTTTGCAACCGGACGGGACAACTTGCGACCCAGGAATGGTTGCACAAACACATATCGGTTGATGAACATGGAGTGCCGTTTGTGAAGAGCCCGAAGTGCCGCGCTACGATCATGTCAGTTGTCTTCAGGCTGGTTGGCAATGATGCAGTGCTAGCGGTGAAGCTAGGGCCTGAGAAGCCAGAGCTCAAGGTTCGGTGCTTTCACTTTGAGTCCGGCAAAGCGAACCACAAGATAACCTCGCTACTTGATGGTTATGAGCATTTGGTGGACAACTTCGAGGGTGAAGATGAGGAGGTTGAATCATCCGATCAGGAGAGCAGCGATTCAGAGATCTACGACCACCACGGACTGGAAGGCAAGGTGGTGCATGAGATAAGAAAAGAAATTATACAGTACAACTAATAATTGGTACTATTGATAAGCCATGTTGACTTACGTTTGGACAAAACAAGTTGTGTGGGTGATGAAGAGGACAAGCAGCATTGCAAATGGTGGAACAGCAAGATGATCCTGCACCAGCGGGCTGCTGCTGGCTCCGAGAAAGTTCCAGAACTGCTTCTGACTGGCGTGCCAGGCAGGACACTTGAAATTGCAGTGAACATGGAATCTGCTCAGTGTCAGCATCCAACATGATTGAAACTGTGAACTTTTGTTTGAGGCCAGTTGAGTAAGGAACTCAAACAAACCACAAACCTACTCTTGATCTTCGACACAAAGGAACCTTCCATGTTAGGGAGTCAAAGCTCAATAGACCTGCAGGTATGCTGGATGAGGAGGACGGCTCTGAGCAGGAAGACACGACTTCCAAAGTTCATGAAGACATGTTTGTCACCTCCTTGAGTTCTGAGGGCAAGGACGCCGCAAGCAAAGAGCCAGCGGGACATGTTGGCCAGCCACCAGCCTTTCATGAGCGCGAGGCTTATAAGGACCTCCTTCATGCCGGCTACATTCGCATGCCCCCGGTGTTCGGGTATCGGCTGAGCCATCACTCTCAAACAAGGCAGTGGCATGCACACCATGTCGGGGACAACAAGAATTTTGCACCATCCTGGAGCCCTACTATTCGCTCGGAGCAGATGGCCTTGTTGCTGGTGATGTGCAGGATTTGGAAATGGTAACTTGACATGGTTCGTGACCAGTTGAACGTGTTCATGATAATGGCTTGTTTCAGCCCATCTTTGTTCCAAGGTAGAATTCCATGTGCAACTGTCAAGACAAAATTGAGGTATACCACAGACTATCCAACAGATGAAGATGGCAAGACCTTTTTGGCCCACCTGCAAAGCGGCATCGAAATGGGCGGATTTTGACAGTTTGGCATTCTTCATGGAAGTGTTTCAAGATACAGGTTTATGTTGAGTAGTTTGGTCCTCTAGTGTTGACTCGTAATTCACTTCTAGGTTTGCTGTGTTCATTTTGCCAGACTGCGTAGGAACTTTGTTAACGTAGCCTCTCCTTACCCTCCAGAGCTGAGTGAAGGAAGGTCCACTGCAAAACGCAGGCCTTACAACCCTTAACTCCAGCTTGGCTGTCTGAGAGTTTTCTCAGGTCATGAACACTCTTCTTGTTCATGAGTGCTATCTTGTTGGTTTATTTGGCACCCTGTGCTACAAATGTGAAAGCCGAGCTTGCACAGCTACTTGCGGGAACTGAGGCTGTGTACTGAAAGTAATTAGGCAAGGCCAAAGAACAAACTAGCTCGCTGCAAAGGAAAACACACACTGCCCGTGCTGCTCCTCCGTGGATTTATTCTGTGGCATTCAACTTCTACAATTACCTCTGATTTTTCATATTCCATGTTTAATTTTTGCATTTTGATGTAAGCTACGTTAAAAGCCAACAGATTTTTGGCAACTTCCATGATGAGGAAACACGTTTTCGGCACGTCCACGTAAAATCACCTGCTTACAATTCTGCCATTCCATGTTAGCCAGTCAGAGTGTACTGTAGAAAAATAACAACAAAAACAATAATGTAATGCCAACTCGCAAACCACCAGGCAATGCCTTGCCATGCATGACAATTATGAGAAATGATGCAATCAATCTTGTAAAACCAATAGATAACAATACAGTGGATGTTTTTGTGATGCGAAAGGAGTTATCCGCTGATTTAACAAAAATATGGTCTCAGGTTTGAGCTGGATTTGGAACGAAGCCACCTGGATGCTTTTTTGCGCTAAGGACAAAATCCCGAACAATCCCAAAGCATAGAATGACTTGTGTTTGAGGTAGTGTACATGCACTGCGCTAATAAACATATATAATGTTGCATAGAGCAATTTAGATTTGTTGAGTGTTCAAGATTGTTCTGTGAATCAAAGAAATGAATCCAATCACGTTCCAAATGATGACTTCGTTCAAATCAAATCCAACTGCGTATCTCTGGCCTGCACACTTTTGTTTGCTTCTATCAACATTCAGAGCAGGCCGCGCCTTCTTTTCCCTTGCCTCCATATCCCTTGCCATCATATCCTTTTCCATCATAGCCTTTTCCATCGTATCCTTTCGCATCGTATCCTTTGCCTTTGCCATCTTTGCCGTCTTTGCCTTTGCCATCTTTGCCTTTCTGCATGCCCTTCCCCTTCTCGTCGGGTTCTGGCGAGCAAACGAAGTATGGCCACAATCAGCAAAGCACGGCCTTGCATGTTTTACGTCGTGGTCCAGGGCTCAGCAAAAAATGCATAATTACAGTCTACATCTCTGACTCTATTCACGGCTCCAGCGGCGTTCCGAAAGATGACTATACGGATGACACTATAATCTGATAACAGCTTTCTCACCCAAAGATACCCAAAGCAGTTTTTAGACCAATAACAAGAGAGGTGTATCCAGGACTCACAGGATTCTAACACGCATATGATTTCAATCGCTCCCTTTGTTTCGAAACTTGTTCCCAACAATGTTCTGCTTGAACATGGACCTCCACCAATTTTGTTGTTCCTTGCAGTTCGAGAGGTTTGCGATGTGCCTGCTTGAGAGCTTTCTTCATTGCTTCCCCACCAGCCGCCAAACCCCCAAGTGGCCTCAGCCGGGGGGGTTATACTGATAGAAATAGAGGCTCTATAATCATTTACAGTAAAGCAAAGGTCCTCAAAATCCTACAAGACAGCCATTCCAGTAAAATTCAGAATCTACAACAATTATATAATAACTATAATAAAGTATAATCAATTATCAACCAGGGAAATCATCAAACTCCTCAACTCCTGAGATGCGTCTTGGAGCCCGAAGTCATGACATGTACTGACCAACCCTTTGGATGTCAAGTCCAAAGAATCTGAGAGAGAAACATTCTAGTAGTAATGCCCTTTCCTACTAGTAGTTTCTTATTCCTAGTAGTAATGCCCTTGTTACTAGTAGCGATGCACTTGTTACTCACCAACGAACACTACCTACAACCGCAACATACTGTGACGTTTTGCTGCCTTCGGAGACTGACGGTGACTAAACACTTTGAGATTGGATGCACAGCTACAACAAAAAGCGTGCCTTAGGCCACAGGTAGCTAAGTCGAACAAAATATCCACCACCAAAAAAACAAATGGAAGCAAAGCTTCTGTGGAAAGGTGCCTCGTGAGATCTGTTGGACATGCTTTGCTTAGTACATCACTTACCCTTTTCATATGACATCTAGGCTTCATAGCACCATGACAATGCCAGGATCAGGCTTGTACACCCTGTCGGGTTCTCTGAGGCATTCCTGAATGTCATCCCAAATTGTAGCAGGGGCTTCATTCTTGTGAACCATAAGATATATATATATATCAAGGTCAAGAGACATGTCCACATTTGTTGCCCACGCGTATCACATCGTATCGTGCTGTTTATCATTTGTTGGTCATACGTTATTTTCAGAAGCGCTACACTCCTAGATGCTACCAAAAGCGACTATTTCATACAGTAAATCAATTGTCTCGCCAAGCTACTCCTGCAGCTCCCCCTCGTGATGCGGGTTTCGAGGACGCCCCTGCACGACTCAACAATTCCATGTGTTAGCGGCTTTGATGGACAATTGCACCTGAGCACCAACTGTATCAATCTGAATGGGTCACCAGAAAGTATGATGCTTGTAAGCAGCTTCGCTACCGCTGTTTTCAACCGCCACTCCAAACAGGTTGGTGCAACACCACAGCGGTAATTTCAACGACACAAAAAGAAATGTTGGTTCAGGCACACTTAGATCAGGGCTCGCAAGAGCAATATCAGTTGTGGCAATCCACTCTAGTGATTACAATACCGGCTTAGAGCGCTGAAGCCTGAACCTGTCAACGGCCATGTGCACAACGGAAAGGAGGCTGGGTCAGAAACAATATGATTTACATCATCGAAGAGTCAGGAAATTAAAATTTGCAGGTACACAGGAGTGATCAGCTCCCGCTTCCTAGGACTGGTGCAAAGAGCTCCGTTGGGCAGAGCCTTGCACGTCCTCTCTGCCCCCCTGCGGCGTTCCTTTGGAACAAGTGTTGACACAAACACTCTGACAATTGTATTCAGTTAACTCAGTTACCACGTTGAGAAGGAAGGTGATGGAACGGCATGGCGAAAAGCCCGAGAAAAATTGTAGGTGTTTGAAACAACCATTGCCCTTGACTGCGGTGACGAAAAGGCTCAAGCTGCAGCGCTGCTGGGGAGGAAAAGGTTTGGGGGGAGGAAACATGAAGGACCATGAAACAAAACGCGGAAGAGTGGTGTAACAGCTTGTGAAAGAACGAGCAGGTACGTCGGCCAGCGTCCTGGCCGATATCCTCAGGACACTGCAGAGAGCTTTGTTAAGTGGAGCTCTGCAGGCCTGCTCCACTCCCCTGCTGGTGAAACTTTGGTGGACATGTGGCAGTGGAGGTCATGAAAGGAAACCCTTTGTCCAGGGGGCGACACACACAGATCGCCGTCGTCGGCGCTTTTTCAAAAAACGGTGGCAGGCTTGGTGATTGTGTCCTTTTTGGACATAGAGCCTCACTAGCTCGGCGGCAGCAGCGTCAGCGCTTGAGGGTGGAAAGGTGTATTTGTGGATAGTGTGGAGTCTGGATTGAAGGCCTGACAGAGCCAAGCGCCGGCTCCCGGCTGTGGTGGCATCCCTGATTTTCCAGGGTTGGGAAGGTTGTATGTAGGTGATGGTGCGTTGTTGGAGGTCAATGTTGAAACCCAGGAGGTGAAAGTCGTCGACAGGTTCCAGTTCCACTGGGTCTCCGAAGAAATTGTGGTGGATGAGGGTTTGAGTGGCTGGGTGGCGGAGGAAGTGCTCATTGTGGACAATGAAACGGTTGTCGACGTAACGGTAGTAAGCAAAGTGCAGGTCCGTGTGTTGCAGTAGGTTGTTGTGGATCTGGTGCCATGAGTGTTCAATGAGGGCGATGGCGACATTGCACAGGGCTGGAGAGAGTTGGGAGCCAATCCCAGCTCCTCGGATTTGCTTGTAAGTGTTATTGCAAGCCCGGAAAATGCAAGTGTTGAGTGCATAAGCAACGATAGTGGTGATGTCAGAGGTCTGGATGGTGCGTTGTGTAGGGTGTTTTTGGTGGTGTCTGCCGATGTGGGAGTGGTGGAAGGGGTTGCCGGTGGCTTGAACATCCACAATAAGAGTGTGTGTGGATTGCTGTTGTTGCCAGTGCTGAATCATGGAGTGAACTGCATCGATCAGTCGGTGTTGGGGGACGGAGTTGAAGAAACCCACCAGGTCGTCGTTGGTGGCGTGCAGGGAGATGTCTGCTGGTGTTTGGGTGAGGTAGCTGTGGAAGTGGTGCCAGAGTTGTGGGATGGAGAGCTGTCCTGGATGTTGTGGGTAGAGGTGTTGGAGTATAATGTCGAGGGCACGGCTGGTAATACGTAGGAGGTTGCCTGTAAGTGAACGAAAGTATGAGATAATGGTGCGGCCTTTCTGCCAGTGCTTTTTCTCCTTGAGGTGAACCACCCCGTAGGGAATGTTGAACTCCTTGCGGAATCCCCACTTGTAGCGGGTGCGGAGGATGGGTGGAACAGTGGCTTTGAGATGGTCGTGGATGTTGGCGGCTGTAAGATAGGGAAGTGGTTCAAAGAGTTCTGGGGATTGCCACGTGTTCAGAGCTCCGGTGAAGTATTGACGGGGGCAGAACAGTCAGAGTTGCTGTAGTTCGTGGTCAGCATGGTGAAGTACTGTATGTGGGCCGAGAAGTTCTTGGAGTTGTCTGAGCAACCGAGCTGTAAATCGGGGTTGTTGTTGGAGATGGGCGTTGTGGAGGCACCATTGATGTGCAAGGAAAGGTTCCAAATGCTGGACGAGGGATGGTGGTAGCCCTTGGAGTTTTAGCCACTTCGTGTAGGCTTGCTGGAAAGTGAGGAAGTAACGGGCCTTGCTGGGGTAGTAGGTGCTGTTCATGTTGGCATTGAGAAAAATGGTAAGATGCGGTGGGAGTTGTAGTTGGTCCAAGGTGAGGATGTAGTGACCATTGGTGGTGGGTGTGTCAGGATCGTGGAGGAGAGTGCGAAGGTGGTTGCACGCACAGGGGAGGTCTGCTGGATCGGGTGGTGAGTGGAGAGTGTCTTCCCAGGTCCGGTGATTGTGGAGCTGGGATCGCAGGGTCTTGTGAGCTGCTTCACTATGCGATGGGAGGGAAGGCCGCTGGTGGAAAGCGGGCCAACGTGTCAATAGCGTTGAGGGCAAGGCGTGTGTGGTGTTGTGCGCGTTGCAAGTTGCTGTGGTAGATGGCGATGATACGCTGGACGGGTTGTGGTAGTGTGTCAGTGAGCGGTTGATGTCCAATTGGTGTCTCGCCAAGAGCTGTGTGGGTGACAAGGTGCTGATGAAGGAGAAAACGGTGGATATGGAGGTCGGTCAGGACGCCCATCAGGGCATGTGGTGGGCGGAGAGTGTAGACTTCGGTCCAGAATGCTTGATCTGCTGAAAGGGTAGGGGGTTGTGCTGATGTCGCTGGTGCCGGTGGAGACGTGGGAGGCGGAGATGTGGTAGGGGGTGATTGGGTGTCTTCCGCGTCATCTGTGAAGACAAAAAGAACCTCTGATTGTTAATCGCAATCCTGTGGATGTGCCATAGTTGATCGACAGAGAAAGCACAAAACGGAAAGAAGGGCGATTGAGACCTAGTGCACAATCAAGCTGAAAAACGGCTGCAGGAATAGAGGAAAGGCTTAATGAGAGAACATGTAGTCAGAACGGCGGAATCAGTCCAGAAAAAAGAAAGTAGTGGTGTGTTCTTTTTTGCCAACGGGAAGTCATGGTGTTAGGTGAAACTGGAGCTGTCAATCAGCGGGATGCCCTGTTCATTTCCACAGCAGCAGCGGCAGCGGCTTGTCTGGCGATGCGCAGTATAGCCTGTTGGAGAGTAGCTGCCTGTTGGTCTGTCAGTGGTGCATCTGGAATGGGTGGGATTGGTGGAAAAACAGTCGGAGTGGTTGTGGAAGAGGTTGGCGGGAGAAGTGGCTGTGGAGCTGGACAAGGTGGCGATTGGTTGGAAGGGAGCAAGGGTTGTCGTGTGCGGTGTGTGGTGGGGTTGAGGTAGTGTTTGATGTCGCTGGAGAAATTGAAAGGTAGGATGTGCCCATTGTGTTGAGGACGTGGGATGGTGACACGGAGGATGGTCTGTGTGGGTGGTGTGCTGTGTGGGACTCGTGGTGTGTAAGGCTGCGTGGGTCGCGTGCAAAGGAGGTGGCCCGACCCAGGTGGTGTTCAGTGGCGGGTAGCCAGGCCGTGCTTTGGGTAGGATAGGAACGTTGGTGGTGAGGATGACGGGGTCCTCACTGCTTGTGGAGGATGTCGTGGATGGTGGCGGTGCTGTGATGTTGGGTTTAGGGCAAACAGTTGCCCGTGGTAAAGTGGTGGATTTGGGGTTGGCAGGGGAGGTAGTGCGTGTGGATAAGTTGCGGTAGGAGGTGTGTGATACTGGTGGTTCCTTGGCTGGTGGAGTGGTGTTGTCAGGTAGGCTGCTGACCGGAGGACATAGGAGTGTTGAAGGGGAAGGTGAGTCCTCTTCTTTTTTGGCATCTTCAAATTTGATATCCTTGGTGGAGGATGTTTCGGTTTTTGCCTTGATCTGAGGTGGCTCCAATGGCTCGTCTTTGGTCTCGATCTCCACGGAGGGTGCGCGCTCCCAATCGGGCGACTCGTGCTCCATGGTGGGGAGGCAACGGGAGTGGTGTGGTAGACGGGCGAGCTCTGCGGATACAAGGTAAGAAGTGGCAGGAAAAGAAGAAACACGAGAGACAGAAAGTAGTGCATTCAGATGTTGTTTGATTGTTTTCCGTAGTGGCATGTTCTGGGTGAGACTGCACTAAACTGTGGCAGTATCAGGGAGGATGCGCTGCAGGTCCGACAGGAGAGTGACACAGGGAGGATGCGCTGCAGGTCCGACAGGAGAGTGGTCAGCGGCTGGAATTGCAGAGGCTGCCCAGAGTGCCCGGTGGAGTTGCCCGCGCTGTCCAGCGGCGGCGGGGGTGATGTTTGCTATAGAGGTTGCCGTGGTTGTGTCAAGAGGTTTGGGTTGGTGGGGGTGGTGAGGGGGAGGCGATCTCGAGATCTGGATCGATGCCTGCTGTGAAGATGCCGGATGAGGGGTGTTTGTGTCACAGGTGCAGTGTCAGCTGGTGTGTGGGTGTGTGTGGAGGTCGATGGGGGGAGATCGGAAAGGTAGTTGGTACGGCCTGGCGCAAGTCACTGTGGGATCCATGCGGTAGTGGCCAGGTGAGCCTGGAGAACCAGGCAGGAATTGGAGAATGCGGAGCCCTCGCTGGGCTTCATGGGTTGCGTTGATCAAATGGCGAGTGTGTTGCGAAGCTGGAGGTAGAGTCTGTATGCTGGTGTGTTAGTGAAGAATGACATCGGGGGGATGGGGTCGTGGACAATGGGGTGATGCTGGAGATTGTCCACCAGTGTTGTGATGGTGTGGATCAGCCAGTGGAGGAGAAGTAGTTCTGGTTGATGTGTGGCTGAGGGTGCCATGTATGGCATTGGATTAGTGGGTAAAAAATGTCCGTGGTG